ACAATTATTAATTTACTTTAATTAACTCATGTACTTTAATCCAAGCCACAGCTCAGAGAGAAGTGTGTCGCATCACTACAAGGTGCCTTAAGAGTTCTGTATCGTAATAGCTTTAGCCAGCTTGTTTCTCGTTAGCCCAGTGGTACATAAGGAAACAAAAGATGGTGGGAGTAAAGCCCCACCTAACATTGCATGTTATATAAAAAGGTTTCAGGAGAGATGCAGAAGTATGAAACTTAACTTTCCCTGGTCTTCTGGAAGAACGTGACAGGTACCTCACTTGTGCTCCTGTCCATCCCCTGCTGTAGTCAAAGTCAGCACAATCCTACCACCCATGACAGATGCTAGCAAGAGAGTTGGCTGTATCTTTTCTTCCCCTTTCCTGTTTCTCCCAGAACGTATTGATCCCCAGCCGATACAGAAATCATTGACTTTGAATCCCCTCCATTTGCCTTCTAGAAAGGTAAAATGCTTCTTGCTGTAAAAAAAATACACTCTGTTTATGAGATGGTCATATAGATTTACCAAGTTCTTAATTACTCCTGAAAGTTTCACAGAGCAAACATTCCTAGATGCTGCCACGTACAGACACACACAAAAAGAGCATGTCTTCATGTTCCAGGAACCAATGCATTAATGTGTTCATCTTCTGCCCACGGCAAGTAACAGACCAATGCTGAAACTCTTTCTGCTTCTTGATACATGTCATTTCTTATAGGTAAAGGAAATCTTTAACGATGACGTACAGATATGACCAGACCCATGTCCAAGATCCATGGCAACACATGGCCAGAGATTTCTTCTAAGTTGTCAGAGAAGAGCCCTCAATTATATATTGAACTTTGTTAGATCTGAGTTGGGTTTGGTAGTGGCTACGTTTATCCAAGAGGAGGTTCACAAGGCACAAGCATAAGCTTTGCTAAGCTGATGTCTTACAAAGTTTGGTTCTGAATCTCTTCAGTCTCTCCACAGTCACCTGGAAACTTACTGCGTTAGATATTCCTAATGCATAACTTGATTTGCCCTCTTTTTTCATAAGCCTGTATCTTCATCTCCTGACCTGTGAAAATGGCTGTTCTTTGTCAACTCTGCCTTATCGCTTCCCTTGTCTGTAGGCTGGATCTTTGTATTACTTGGGGCTGACCATGCTCAATTATCTTTTTTTTTTCAGCTGTTTCCTTCCAAAAGAAGAAAAAATCTAGAAGCTTTCTATAATTTTAATTCCCTTCCAGCTGTTTTCTGTATCTGCCAAAAGCCCTCTCCGTTCCATTCTCAAAGCACTTTAGGACATATTGAAATTCAAAGTAGAGCTGTTAAGGCCTTACTCAGCATGGCCTGCATCTTGCATAAATAGCAGTTACATTTTTAAAGATGTTACTACTGTTTTAACAGAGCATTAAATGTCATTGTGAATTTACTGCATTGGAATACTACGTGTTTCCTGGGGGATGCAGCAAATTGCACAGTGCTGGCCCTGCATGGTTCAGCCTGGAGAAGGTGGCCTGATACAAGAGATGGAGATGGGGAAATGACAGCTTGGTGGGCTCTGTGGGCAGCTCCCGTGTCCAGGTGGAGAGAAGAGGAGCTAGATGGGTCTGCCTTCTTCTCGGTGCTCTGCTCTCATAGAGCTACCCAGAAGGAAACACCTTTGAGTCTTTCTTTGCTTGTCAGTCAACCGGGAAGGTCTCTTAGCTAGTCTGCATGATGACCCAAATGGGAAACACCAGCCAAAGCCCTCTTACAGTTCCCGTAGCCCGCAGGCCAAAGCCACCCTGTTTCTCACAAGGCTTTGCGCTTAGCCCGTTCACTGAGTCGCTGCACGAAGGACAGCGGAGTATGTGCTGCATTGCCGAAAACAGGGCCAGTGTCCCGGGCTGGCAGAGCCGCCCGCTCCGCAGAAGGGCTGCGCTTCCAGCCAGCGGTGCGGTGGGTGCCGCAGCTGCCCTCCGTTCCCCCGCTTCCCATCCCACCCGGGTCACCTGCACCCGTGCACCGTCACCCCAGGGCTGCATGC